TGACATGAATGTCATTCACATTTTCATGATTCGCTCTGTCACTCGTTCGATTGTTTGACATTCAATTGATGTCATTTATCATTGTCAATTGATCATTCGATTCTTTCTGTTTCTGTTCTTGTTGGCTGACCATGTTCCTTGCTCTTTGGCGTTCATGGTGTCGCAGGCTGTGATGTTGCTATTGTCTGCCCTTATGCTTTGCTTTGGTTGCTATTGCTTTTGATGGTTGACTATAATCGACATGCATCCTAATTGATCATTGCCTTTGCTCTTGTTGTTGCTTTTGATCATTTTTCGTCATGCTTCAACTGTTCTTGATTCTCCTATTTTCATTGACCTTGACTTCAACATCCACCATCGGGCCTTGCTCACTACACTATCGATTCTCATCTTTGTTGTCGTTAGTCATGGTCAATAGTTTTGCATGCAATGTATTTCGTGTTGACCCTGTTGTGTCGTGGTCATGGGTGATCTGGAGATCTGATCGATCAACCGCGCCCTGCCTCGCCGACCTCAACGTCACCCGAGTCCATCCCATTGCCTGCTAGCTTTGTCCAGTCCCTGTTGGCCTACTCATACGTGTGCTGTGCAAGCCATGTATGATCTTTGGTTGTTGTTGTGGACGTCATTGCCTCGTTTGATGCCCGTTCCGGCTTTTCTTCAATTAATTCAACGTTCAACTCAATTAACGTCCGCCGCCTTCCCTCTGCCGGCCAAGTACCCGCCGCCCCTATCGCCCACTCCCCACACACACTCATCAGCCGTATCATACTCACTTTCATCAATGCTCAAGCCCAATCGCCATACCTACTACCATTTCGCCCGTCACGACCCCACGTCACGACCCCCCTCATCCCCCCTACCATGCTCATTACCACCCGTCACCACAAACTACCACCCCCCACCCCCTACCCCACCACCATCACTATCATCCCAGCCACAACTACCACCCACAGGTCATGGTCATGCCCTCCACCATCTCGCTGCGCACTCGGCTTCCTCTTCCTCCTCATCCTCCTCGTCTTCCCGCTCTACGTCACCTCCATCCTCATCCCCAACCCCGACACCCACACTCCCCAACCATCACGTGCCATACTGCCCATTCACCAACCAATACCAATCTCGAGCCACCCAGCGCCGACCCAGCCCCCTCTGCGCCCCTGCCTCGCCGACCACCAGCCGCCAGCCGCCGCCCGCTCGCCCGACCAGCCCACCTTCATCACCACCTAGCTCCTTCCCACTACCCGCTACACAACCGACGACCACCACCAAGGTCATCACTCACCGTGCACTATCACCAGTACCAATATCGCTGTCATCCATATCCATTTACCTCGGCCCATTTCCGCGTCGGCTTGTTTTGTCTAGGCGGTTGAGCACGCCCTCGACCGCCCGACCCCGCACACGACCCCCACCAACGTCATTGCAAGATATGGCCAATCTGATTTCACTGCTACTCTACTACATATCCACACTACCCCCTTGCACAATCTCCAATCCACAGCTGCAGTATTCCGGAATCCGAGTTCTGCCGGCTCAGGCCCAAGTTGTTGGCCCTGTGTCCCTTCGATGCTGCTGGCCCCTCCTCCCCGGACCCATCTCCGACCCCCACTCCTGACCATGTCCACCCACAACCACCACACCCACACCACACGTACTCACTACCCCTGCAAACATAGCCATTCACTCCCTGCCCGCCGATACGCACATCAGCCGACGCCATCCCGTCAACAGCATCACGACGATGGCCGGGATCACTGTCAACGGCGCCGAGAGGAGCGAGAAGACCACCGCCAGGAACCGGAGATCGCCCGCGCGTGGCGGCAGAACCTCGTTGGGCCACCGACTGCTGGCAGGCAGCACCTTGAGGGTCGATCTGACCAGCAGCGGTGCGATGGCCATGCAGAGCGGCCCGAGTGTCATCATGCCGAGCGCCGAGCGCGTGAGCCCCACTAGCGACCGCAGCACAAGCCGGACCGTCATGTCCCACTGCGGCGCGCACGCCAGGCAGATGATGTACAGCGGGGCAGCGCCGACATAGTCCGGTAGCATCGTCACAAAATGTGCCGCGCAGCGGACCACGGCCGTGACGAAGCCCGCTCCATGAAACGTGCCCACGCCACCAAATCAGCCAGCCGACGCGATCCCATTCCATCGAAGCGTTCCTCCCCTTCTCCTTCTACTTGCCACGGCACAGCCCCGCCACTCCCGCGCACGTCACCCCCTGTCTCGTGCATGCTGAGGTGGCTTCCGTCTGCACACTCACTCACACGGACCGCTCTCGCATACGCTCCCTCGCTCGCGTCGTCGTCGTCGTCCTGGCTGCCTCCCTCCACCATGTCCGCCCTCAACCCCTCGGCAGACATCACCCTCACCGAGTTTGAGTCCAAGCTGTTCAAGCTCCTGCTCGAGGTTGTCAATCAGCGGAGTCCGGAGACCGTCCTGCGCGTCGCTGGCGGCTGGGTCCGTGACAAGCTCCTCTGCAAGGAGTCGCACGATGTTGACATTGCCCTCAACAACATGTCTGGCGTCGCCTTTGCTGAGCTCCTGCAGGAGCACATGGTCGACGCCGGCATGCCCACACACTCGATTGGCAAGATCAAGGCCAACCCGGAGCAGTCCAAGCACCTTGAGACCGCCACCATGCCGGTACTGGGCCACTGGGTCGACTTTGTCAACCTCCGCTCCGAGGAGTACGGCGAGTCGCGCATCGCCATCTCCAAGCCCGGCACTCCGCAAGAAGATGCCCTCCGCCGCGACCTCACCATCAACGCCCTCTTCTATAACATCAACACCGGCACCGTTGAGGACTTTACCGGCTGCGGCCTCAACGACCTTGAGAGCGGTGTCATCCGCACGCCGCTGCCGCCCAAGAAGACTTTCCTCGACGACCCGCTCCGCATTCTGCGCGCCATCCGCTTTGCCTCGCGCTTCGGCTACGACCTCGTCGAGCCGGTCGTGGAGGCCATCCGTGACGACGAAGTCCGCGTTGCGCTTGCGAGCAAGGTCTCGCGCGAGCGCTTTGGCATCGAGATCGCCTCCATGCTCCGTGGCCCGGCCCCGGTCCTCTCGCTCAGCTACCTCACCCACTTTGACCTTGTCCCAATCTGCTTCAACGTTCCCGACGCGGTCACCGACGACGGCATCGACACCTTGCCACCGCCGGCCTTGCCGACGCTGCCGCCTTTTACACCCTCGCCGAGTCGGACCGTTCGCCGGGGCTGGTCTCGCTCGTCCCGTCGACCAAGCCCGACGAGCCCGAGATTATTGCCGATGGCGAGACACCGCGCGACGCGCTCCGTATCAACACCTACCTTGCTGCATTCCTTCTCCCTCGTGCGCATGTCTCTGTCCCGGGCAAAAGGGTCGCCTCACCCCGCTGGCCCAGTACCACATTGTCTCCTCTATCAAGCGCTCCAACCGCGACGCCGCCCTAGTCGCCACCCTCCACGCCGTTGCGCTTGCCTTCCGTGACGTTCTGACCGGCGCGTCTCCCGACGATCGCGCTTCCATCGGCGCCATCCTCCGCATGGGCGCCAAGCACCACTGGGACGTTGCCCTCGCCCTCGCCGCCATCCTCCTCTTGCCCTCGAGCCCGGTCCCGGCCGTGGAGACGACTCCGACCGAGATCGCCGCCTCGTTCTCCGCCGATGCCCACCCTGACGTCTACGCCCGCTACTCGGCCATGTATGCCCGCGTTCGCGACTTCTTTGGCTCGAACCACCCGTGGGACCTCCGGCCGGCACTCTCCGGCTCCGACATCATTGCCGCGCTCAACCTCTCGCGCGGCGGGCCCATCGTCGGCGAGGTCACCCAGGCCCTCATCGCCGCCCAGCTTGCTCACCCAGACAGGTCATCTGACGACTGGCGTGCCTGGGTCGTCGACAACTTTGGCGCCCACGCCGTCTAGCCCCATCGGTCACCCCCCAGCCGGCCACATTGCCACGTGAAATCCGACGCAAACACCTGCCGCCCTCTCCACTCGCTCAACTTCAAGCTAGACACCACCTCCCCATTCCTCTCCCCTCCGCCGACCCTCTCTCACCGCCCATCCCTGCACGCACACATGTCGTCCACCAGCATGTACACTCGTGCCCTTGTGGTCGTTGCTGTGGCCCTCTCGCTCTGCTTCGCCACAGTTGCTCTCCCCGGTACGTACGCTTCCCTCACCTGCTGACCTCACCGCCTGGTCGCGCACACCACTCACACACTCTCCCCCTTCCCCTTTCGCAGTCTTTGACTCGCAGTACACCGAGGACTGCATGACCCGCAGCTTCTCACAGGAGACCATCAAGCCTGGCTTCGAGATCCCCCATGATGGCGTCCACCTCCACTCGTTCCGCTCCGCCTCGGAAGGCATTTTCCACACCGAGGTCTCCGACGTACTTCGCGACGACCGCGTCCTCATCCTCGGCGTGCCCTTTGCCATGGAGACCAGCTACCTCGCCGATCTCAAGTACTGGGCCAAGGAGCTGAAGCAAGTCCGCCGCCAGCTCGGCCTCGATCACGTCTTTGTCGTCATCGCCGGTAACCCGTACGAGGCCAATGCCATGCACGAGTCCGAGAGTCTCAACGGCGAGCCCATCGACAGCATCATGTCGTTCTGGTCAGACTCAGACATGCAGATCGCCAAGCGCCTCGGCATGGTCTACGATGCTCGTCCCGACGGCCTCGGCATCACCTCGCTCCGCTACGCCGTTCTCGTCGACCACTTTGACGTCAAGTACGTCGCCTCTGAGCCGCACCACTCCATCGACGCGGTCGCCTTCCGCAACCTCTTTGACGCCATCCAGGACCTGATTACCAGCGGCGCCATTCCGCCACAGCTTCCCCGCGGCCACGACGAGCTGTAGCTGCTAAAACCTCATCAGGCCTTTGCCTGCAAGGAAAACTGCCCTCTTTATTCGTCCGATGACGACGACGCGTAGTACGAGTAGTAGTACGACGACGAGGCAACAGACGTCACATCTGCCTCGGCAGACCCAAGATCGGCCGGCTCCAGCGTAGGTGCTGCCATCGAACATGTGCCCCACTCGGCGACTGCGTCGTCTTTGGCTGCCGGCACGTTGATCGAGCCTGCCGGCTGCGCCTCGAGCTCGATGCCGTCGTCAGTCGCCATGTCGGTCGCGCTCGAGTTGCCGCTCTCCTCGCGCTTGGCCACTGCAATCGGCGGCATGTCAACCACGGCGAGAGGAAGTGCTGCGCTTGCGAATCTGCGATGCCGCGCGTCCGACCGACGCTTGGCCACAAACGCTGCCGCCACGAGCACCCCAATAACGACCAGGCAGAGAACCGCCACCACAAACAGTATTGTCGACGACGTCTGCCCTCTCTTTGCCGGTGGAAGCGCGCCGACCTCCTGCTCCGAGATCTCCACTGTGGCCGCCTGGACCCCATAGCTGACCGTGGCCGCTAGCACTCTCACCGCCCGGATCCGTAGCCGGCGCGCACCGGCCCGGAGGACAAAAACCTCTCCAAATGTACCCGCATGCTCTCCGTACGTCATGATAGGAAACGTCTGTCCGGCCGTGAGCGGATGGCTGCGGTCCTCAATGAGAAAGAGCGCGCCGGCAAACTCCACGCTGCCCGCCACCCGCACTGGCGCCCCCGAGGCGAGCGCGCTCGTGACCACAACCTTGAACCGCGAGCCCGTCGTCAGCGTGAGCGAGCCAGCAACAAAGCCGGCGCCGCTCGTAAGCACCAGCTCGCCCGACGCCGCCACCAACACACTTCCGTTGACCACAAGCGAGCTGCTCGCACCAACAGTGAGCACCCCATCTGCAGTCACGACGAGCGAGCCGGACGCGCTTGCATTCCCAACCACATTGGCTCCGCCGACCACCTGCAGTGCGCCATCAGTCAGCTTACCGCTCACGTTGCCAGAGAGAACCGAGCCACTGCCGCCAGTCCCACTGGCTGTCCCTCCTGTTGCCGTTCCGCCGGTCGAAGCCCCGGTCCCGGCCGACGTCCCGCCAGTGCCACTAGCCGTCGCCGTAGTCGCGTTGCCTCCCGTCGTCGCCGTCGTCGTCGCCGTGCCTCCCGTCGTCCCGGCTGTCGTTCCTCCCGTCGACCCGGCGCTCGACTGAGTGACCGGCGTGCCGGACGAGCAAGCCGCTGAACCGCCGCCAAACGTTGTCGAGTATGCCGTCGACGAGTCTATCAGCACCGGCTTGTCGCCCTCCATTCGCGCCACCATCCACGGCACGTACGACGAGACCCGGGTGTTGACAGCCCAGAACACCGGGTGCCCGCACGGCTGCCAACTCGACCCGCCAAACGAGGTAATACCGACCTGGACCAGCCCTCCGTCAACTGCCTTCACATACACCGGGCCACCCGAGTCACCCGTGCACGAGTCGCGCGACGAGACGCACTGCTCGCCGGCGCAGATGTGCGACGAGAGAATGGCCACGCCGTCGCTAGCGTAGTTGCTGGCACAGTCACCGTTCCGCTGGATAAGGGTATCGATCGTCTTCAGCACGGTCGGCCACACATCGCCGCCGGTGTTGGTCGCGCCCCACCCGGCGAGTGTTGCCACTGCGTAGTCCGGTGGGTCTGCCGACGCCAAACGCGCCAGCCTGACGTCCGCCCGCCCAAGATCAACCGGCGTCGAGAGTCGAATCAGTGCCACATCGTCGTGCTCGGCCGTGTAATCGTTGTACGACGCATGCACGTGGACGAGATCGGCTTGCACAAGCTCGCTCGTGTCCGCCGTCGTCTGATCGTGTCCGCCTGGCCAGACATACAGCTGGCTCGGCGTGTTGCGCCGGTCGTACACACAGTGCGCCGCCGTCAGCACCCACCGCGCCGACAACAGCGTCCCCCCGCACATCACATCAAAGTGCAACCCGTCCACAATGCCCACAAGATCCGGGAACTGGCCAGGGCTCGCCTCGCTCCCGCCTACAATCCGCGGCGCCTCCGCCGCCACGCCTCCGCTCCCCGCCACCACCGCCGCCGCCACCACCACCACCACCGCCACCACCGCCATATTCGCCTCCCGCAGACTCGTCCTAGCCATGCCCAACCCAACTAGCACCACACTGTCTACCTCCCTTCTTGAGAGCCAAGTCAAGAGGGATGCACACACGCATACACGCACACGCACACCGTCCTATCCCCAAGCCCGACCGTCGCCCGCCGCCCGTCGCCCGTCAGCCGACCAACTGCCAATCCTGCGAACCAACGAACGGACTAACCAGCTCCAATCCGTGGCGCATGTGACTGCCGCCAGCTTCCTCAACACCCCCCCACGACCCACCACCAGCACCACCACCACCCACTCCTCCCCCCTCCCCCCCCCCTCCTCCCTACATCCACCGGGTTACCACCTCACCACCACACGCCACACGCCACACTACATTACCTCCTGCCCTCCTTCCCACCAGTACGCTCCCTCTCCCCTTCCCAACCTACCGCCCCCGACCACCTCCTCCGTCCAGCCTCCACAACGCCCCCTGCCCATGCCCCTAACCCCAACCCCCCACCCAAACACCCACATACCCACCCCACACACACGCATACCAACCCCCCACATACAGCCACCTTCCACCTCTCCCCCTACTGCACTCACCCATCCTGTCTCCTGCACCACCTTCCCTGCATCGCCCGGCCAACCCTTTTTTTTGCCCGCAACACCCCTCACCACCCTCACCGCCCTCACCCCCCCCCCCCCTACACAGTGCCGATCTTCCAAAAGTCGGTGACAGATCTGGTCCGTGGCATCCGGTCGAACAAAAAGTCCGAGAGCGAGTACATCAATGCTCAGATCGCCGCCATCAAGGAGGAGCTCAAGCAGCCACAGCTGGTCAAGAAGGTCGTTGCCATCCAGAAGCTGACCTACCTGCAGATGATGGGCTACGACATGGCATGGGCTGCTTTTAACGTCATCGAGGTCATGTCTGCACCAAAGTTTGCCTACAAGCGCGTCGGCTACCTTGCAGCCTCGCAGTCGTTCAACCCAGAGACCGAGGTCCTCATGCTCGCCACCAACCTGTTCAAGAAGGACTTTGCCGCAGCCAACCAGTACGAGTCCGGCATGGCCATCAACTGCCTTGCCAACGTGTGCACAGAGGACCTTGCCCGCGACCTCGCCTCGGATATTGTGGCCATGCTCAACAACTCCAAGCCGTACCTCCGCAAGAAGGCCGTCCTCGTCCTCTACAAGATCTTTCTGCAGTTCCCTGAGGCTCTCCGCCCGGCCTTCCCGCGGCTCAAGTCCAAGCTGGAGGACTCGGACGTGTCGGTCATTTCCGCCGCCGTCAACGTCATCTGCGAGCTTGCGCGCAAGAACCCCAAGAACTACCTCTCGCTCGCCCCGGTCTTTTTCAAGCTCCTCACCGTCTCCAACAACAACTGGATGCTCATCAAGATTGTCAAGCTCCTGGGTGCACTCACGCCCCACGAGCCACGCCTCGCCAAGAAGCTCATCGGCCCGATGACCAACCTCATCAACACCACTCCTGCCATGTCGCTCCTCTACGAGTGCATCAACACCTGCACCATCGGCCTCAACCAGCACCTGCCAGTCATCCAGCTCTGCGTCGCCAAGCTCCGCGCCTTTGTCGAGGATCCCGACCAGAACCTCAAGTACCTCGGCCTCCTTGCCCTCGGCAACATCATGGTCTACCACCCGCGGGCCGTCGCTGAGCACCGCGACCTCATTCTCAAGTGTCTTGGCGACGAGGACATCACCATCCGCACCCGCGCCCTCAACCTCATTCCGGGCATCGTCTCCAAGAAGAACCTTGTCGACATTGTCCGTACCCTCATGGCGTATGTTCCCAACGCCGAGGGCGCGTACCGCGACGCCATCGTCGCCCAGGTCATCCGCGTCTGTTCCCAGGACTCGTACGCAGCGCTCCGCGACTTTGAATGGTACATCTCCATCCTGGTCGAGATGACCCGCATTCGGGGCACCAAGCACGGCCGCCTCATTGCCGACCAGTTCCTCGACGTCGCCATCCGCGTCCGCGTTGTCCGGCCCTACGTTGTTCAGAACATGGTCAACCTGCTGCTTGACCCGCGCTTCCTTGCCGACAACCCCAAGGGCAAGGACTCCATCTCCGAGGTTCTCTACGCTGCCGCCTGGATTGTCGGCGAGTTTGCTGCCGAGCTCAACAACGACTACTTTGTCCGCGTCATGCAGGCCATCATGCAGCCGCGTGTCTCCACCCTCCCGCCGCGCATCCAGGGTGTTTACCTGCAGAACGCCGTCAAGCTCTTTGCCGAGGCCGTTGCTCGCTTTGGCCTCCCCTCCGCCGCCGCCCTCACCGCCCCCGTCGACGGTGATGACGCCGACGCCCAGCCGGCCGCCGCCCGCGGCCTGCTCATCGGCGACGCTGCTGCGCCCAACGATGAGAGCCCAACCAACGGTTCTTCGGCCCATCCGGGCCACGAAGTCACCAACGAGCTGGCCTCGGTCTTTGTCGCCCGCATTCCGGCCTTTCTGCAGTCGACAGCCGAGGACGTCCAGGAGCGCGCGTGCTCGTTCCAGCAGGTTCTCGCGGTCGTCCGCGAGGCCCTCGTTGCCGGCACCGACCCGGCCATCATTCTCCCGCAGGTCCGCGCTCTCTTCAAGGGCAAGATGAACCCGGTCGCGCCCAATGCCCAGTCCAAGGTCCCGGTCCCGGCCGGCCTCAACCTCGACGCCTGGATCAACTCGCCGCCCGACGAGGCCCTCTGGGAGTCGATGTATGGTGACCAAGCCGTCTCACTCAACGACTCGTCGGCCTGGGGCGCTTCGCCTGGCATGGACCCGGCCTTTGGCGCCGCCGACCGCTTCGTCGGCATGGGCTCCGACACCATGTCGTACGGCTCGACGCCCGCCGGTGGCCAATCGGCCCGCTCGCACGACATCAACTACCTCGGCTCGGGCTCGTCTGACCCGCGCATCCGCGACATCGACGTCTCGGCCATCCCTATCGAGACCCTCACCATCGGCGCCAATGGCGAGGCCCAGTTTGGCGCCTCGGGCCGCCGTCGCCGCCGCCGTCGTCGCGGCGCCGGCCTCGCCGTCAACGCGCCCGCCGTCAAGCCGGTCGAGTACCAGGTCGACACCACCTACGACATGCCCGAGGGCATCTCGCTCGAGGAGGACAACCCCGAGTCCGAGGAGGAGGACGAGATTGCCAAGGCTCTCAACATCGACCTCTCCGCCCCGCTCGGCGCCGACGAGGTCCTCCCACAGCGCCAGCACCGCGTTGCCGGTGCGCCGTCGTCAGCCGCCGCCGCTGCACAGCCTGCCGCACAGCCGGTCACCATCGGCCGTTCCGGCCGTCGTCGCCGTCGCCGTGGCGCTGCCGCCGCCACCGTTGACACCGCCCAGGACGCTCCGGCAGCCCGCCAGGCGTCAACCACGTCGCTCATCGACCTCGGCGCCGGCCCGGCCTCGCCCGCGGCTCCGGCTCCTGCTCCGGCCGCGCCCGCCGCCTCGCCCATTCCCGTCGTTGACTCTTCGATGGACTCACCGGCCCCTGCACCTGCCGCCCCTGCGGGCAAGCGCCGCCGTCGTCGCCGCGGTGGTGCTGCTGCCGCTGGATCGGCCGCCGCGCCGTCGGCCACCGCCGCGTCGCCGGGTGCGGCCGCCCCGGGCGGCTTTGCGCCCAAGCCCATGCTCAAGCTGCTGTGCGGCAACCCGGAGTTCTTCATCAACTACACCGCGCAGCCGAACCTGACCCAGCCGACGCAGCTGCTTGTTGCAGTCAACTGCGCCAACGCCACCGCGGACGCTACCATCTCGGGCATCGAGTTTACGGTCCTCGACTCGATGAACATGCAGCTCATCAAGTCGCCGGGTGCCGACTCGCTCAAGACCGACATCACCCTCTTCCCGGGCGTCAACAACGTCGTCCCCATGACCTTTGCCTTCCAGTCGTTCGAGGTGGCGCAAAAGCTCAAGGGCTCGGTCTCGTACATCAAGACCATGCAATCGGGCGGATCAACGGCTGGCAACCTCGACTTTGCCTTTGAGTTCCCGCCGTCGTCGTTTGTTGTTGCCGTCCCTTGCACCGCCACAGACTTTGCCGCCATCTGCGGCGGCCCAACCGCGCACTCGGCCGCCAAGTTCACCTCGACCTCCTCGTTTACCGATGCCGTCTCGGCCATCATGGGCCTCCTCCACGTCTCGCTTGTCGACGCCTCGCCGTCGGCCGTCTCGCTCTACGGCCGTTCTGTCCACAACCACCACGTCGCCCTCCTCGTCAAGGACCTCGGCTCGGGCAACATGTCCATCGACTGCAAGTGCAGCGACGCCGGCCTCGGCTCGCAGCTCGTCGACGAGGTCGTCGCCCACTTTGACCTCCAGGTCATGTCGTAAAACAACGTCCTCCTCCCCACTCACTCTCGTCCCGGATGCGCCGGCTCCCACTCGCCCTTGCGCACAAAGTCCCGCAGCGGACCAAAGAGCTCGGTGTCGTCCATGGCCTTCAGCGCGCCCCACGCCATCCACTCCCACCCGGCGCACTTGTGCGGCTCGACACGCTCCGGCTCCGGGCAGCCGGCACCCACATACGCGCACACAAATGGCACAATGGCATGCAGCTTCTCCTCTGGCATTACCGTCCCCAGTACATCAACCGTCTCGAGCGGCGCCACAACCTGGGCGTTCTCCCCGATGGCGATGCCCGTCTCCTCGGCCAGCTCCCGAATCGCCGTCTCCTCAAACCGCTCACCAAACTCGAGCTTCCCTCCAGGCAGCGCCAGCAGACCCTCACCATGCGAGTTGAGCCGCCTCCCCACCACCACCGCATTGTCCTCCCGTACCACAAGCACGCCGACGCCCACCAGAATCGTCCCGCTCTGCTCCATCCCATTCCCAGCCATCGCCGACATAAGCTCGAGAGACAAGAGTATCGCGAGCTACCCGCTGCCCACCGCACCGGTAACCTTCCTCTGCCACCACAACTGCATAACCACCGCGATCGCCCCTGCGACCCGTTCCCTGCGCCCGATCAAGTTCTCTCCCCATCCGGCCCAATCGACTCGACGCCTTCCACACTCTGGTCGCCGTCAGCCGTTCCCCACGCCACGAACGCCCGCTCACCGCACACCGCTCACCGCACCCGCACCGACTGGTTCACCCACCTCACCCTGACCCCCCTCCTCCCCTCCTCCTTTATCACACGCCTAGCATATGCTGAGCAGAGCAGGAGCATGGGCGGCGCGGGTGGCGCTTGGAAGCGGAAAGCGGGCCGTGTCGGCGTCGACAGCGGCGGCAGCGGTGGCGAGGGCATCCGCGCGTCATGGTCGCTCGCTCAGGTCGCCTCCGCAGACACCGGCTTGGGCCACAGGCCTTGCCATCTCCTCGCACCTTCCCCTTCAAAGCAGCGCGGTCTTTGCCCTCGCCTCACGCGGCACCGCTCTTCGCGGCTTTTCCTCCTCTTCGCTCGCCCGTAATGAGCCTGACGCCGCAAAACCCGAGTCGGCCAAGCCCGAGTCGGCCAAGCCCGAGTCGGCCAAGCCCGAGTCGGCCAAGCCCGAGTGGAAGAACCTCCGCCCGGCAGGCTCCGAGGCTGGCAAGGGCCCTGTTCCTCCCAAGGGTGGTGCGACAGGGCCTGGGACCGGTGCCGGTGCCGGTGCTGGTGCTGGTGTCGGTCGTAAGGCCGGGCGGCGGACCAAGCCGCTGCCGCCGCCAGAGCCGACGCCGAGGTGGCAAATGGCGCTGGCGTGGACGGCTGCGGGTGGGACGGCGTACTATCTGTACACCCGCGATACTGGCCCGGCGCCGCATGAGATCGATTGGGTCAAGTTTGAGTCCGAGGTGCTGGCCGTCGGCGAGGTTGCCTCGCTCCGGGTCGTCAACGGGACGCAGGTCGAGGTCTTTCTCCGCGACGACTCGGAGCTTGTTGCGAACCGTGACGAGTACGGGCCGGACCGCCCGGTGTACACCTTTTCCATCGGGAGCATTGACGTGTTTGAGCGCAAGATGGAGGGCGCCCAGCGGTCGCTTGGGGTGCGGTCGGAGGACTTTGTGCCGACCGCATACGTTGACCGGACCTCGCTCGGTGCCGAGGTTGTGCGGTTCCTGCCGACGCTCCTTCTCATCGGCTTCTTTGTCTTTGTCTACCGCCGCATGACGAGCTCGGGTGGGCCGGCGTCGCAGCTTGGCTCGATGTTTGGCATGGGCAAGGCCAAGGTCCGCAAGATCACCAAGGAGACCAACATCGGCGTGACATTTAAGGACGTCGCAGGCCTGGAAGAGGCCAAGGTCGAGGTTGCCGAGTACGTCGAGTTTTTCAAGGACCCAGAGCGGTTCACCAAGCTCGGCGCCAAGATGCCCAAGGGCGTCCTGTTGACGGGCCCGCCCGGGACAGGCAAGACGCTGCTGGCCAAGGCCATGGCCGGCGAGGCCGGCAAGCCGTTCCTCTCCATCTCGGGTTCCGAGTTCCTGGAGATGTTTGCGGGCGTCGGCCCGTCCCGCGTCCGTGACCTCTTCAAGCAGGCGCGGACCGAGGCACCGTGCATTGTGTTCATCGACGAGATCGACGCCATCGGCCGCAAGCGCGGCTCGCGCAAGATGGGCGGCAACGACGAGCGCGAGAACACGCTCAACCAGCTGTTGGTCGAGATGGACGGCTTTGCCTCGTCCACGGGCGTCATTGTGATGGCAGCGACAAACCGGGCAGACATCCTAGACCCGGCGCTGCTGCGGCCGGGCCGCTTTGACCGCCAGGTCACCGTCGACGCCGCCGACCTCGACGGCCGCCGCGACATCTTCAAGGTCCACCTCAAGAACATCAAGATTGCGCCGACCGGCGACAATGCCGCCGTGAGCGCCGACGAGCTCGAGACCATTGCCGCTCAGCTCGCCAAGCTCACGCCGGGCTTCTCGGGCGCCGACATTGCCAACGTGTGCAACGAGGCTGCACTCATTGCGGCGCGGACAGACAAGCCCGGTGTCGATCTCGGCGACTTTGAGGCTGCCATCGAGCGCACCATCGGCGGCCTCGAGAAGAAGTCGCGAGTTCTCTCGCCCAAGGAGCGCCGGACGGTGGCGTACCACGAGGCCGGCCACGCCGTCGCCGGCTGGTTCCTCGAGCACACCCACCCGCTGCTCAAGGTCTCGATTGTGCCGCGCGGCTCGGCGGCGCTCGGCTACGCCCAGTACCTGCCCAAGGACCAGTACCTGTACACCACCGAGCAGCTCGACGACATGATGGCCATGACGCTGGCCGGCCGGACGGCCGAGGCGGAGTTCTTTGGCCGCGTCACCACCGGCGCACAGGACGATCTGCGCAAGGTCACTCGCATGGCCTATGAGAACGTCGTCGCCTACGGCTTCTCTCCGGCCGTCGGCAACGTCTCGTTCCCGCTGCCGCAGGACGGCGACATGGTGACCGACAAGCCGTACTCGAACACCACCGCCAAGCTCATCGACACCGAGGTCAACACCGCGGTCTCGCGCGCCTATGCCCGTGCCGAGGCCGTCATCCGCGACCACCGCGAAGACGTCGAGCGCCTTGCCGAGGCCCTACTTGAGCGCGAGGTCATCCGTCGCGACGACATTGTCGAGATCCTTGGCCCGCGTCCGTTTGGCGATGTCGCCGACGTGGTCCCGGGGCCCTCGCCGCTCTCGCCGGCGTAACACGACCGCAAACGCTAGTTTGTCAAACTATGCTCAATGAGAGGCGCGAGTCCGGCAGGTGTAAACGCCTGACGTGTGCTGGCTGAGTCGGGCGAGGTGCGGGAGCATGCCGGCCGCCGGCCGCCGCCGCCATACGGAAGCACAGCACTCACGGCTCTCTGTGGGCGACAGCATGCAGAACGCGTCCAAGGAGCAGCTTCTGGAGTTTCTGGCGTGGCAGAAAAAGAAGCTAGGAGGTACGCATGTATGCCCAGTACCTCCCCTGTGTGTATGTGTTTGGAGGGTGCATGACCTGTGGCGCGGGACTCACGGGTGGAGACGGGCAGACGCCGAGGCCGCATGTGAGAGCCATGTGGCTCGCGCCGAGGCGGCTGAGGCGCAGGCGAGTGAGTGTGGGGCGCGCATGGATGCGCTACTGGTGGGACTGGTCAAGCTTGTGCCGTCGGTGCTAGGTGCGTCTGCAGAGGGAGAGGCGGCCTTTGTGGCGGCGGTGGGCGGCGACGGCGAGGCGAGGCCGTCTGACGCGGCGCTCAAGGCAGCGGCGAACGACGTAGATGGCGTAGTGGCCCGCATCGGTCGCCACCTTGGCGCCTTGGTCACAGCCAACGACTCGCTGGAGGAGGAGATGACATCGTTGGTCATGGCCCAGGCTGAGCTGCAGACTGCTGTCGAGGAGGCGCAAGCGCGCGAGGCCGAGCTCGAGCAGGCTGTCCAGCGAGGTGCAGATGCTGAGGCAGGCCTTGCCGAGCTCAGAGCCAAGCTGGAGGCTGCCGAGTCCAAAGTCGAGGACTGTGAGATGCAGATGGAGGAGCTCGAGCTCGCGGTCTCGTCGCGCGACGTTGATCTGAATCGGCTTGAAAGTGAGCTGGCCGCTGCACAACAGGCTCTCAAGAACGAGCGCGATGCCCGGGTGAGTGCAGACACGAACCGCAAGGACGTGGCTAGTCGGGCTACTCAGCTGGAGAAGGCTGTCGAGGCTGCCACTGGTGAGCGTGATGCTGCAACCGCGCGACTCGACGAGCTGACATCGCAGCTCGCAGCCTCACAGGCCCGTATTACCGAGTTGAACGCCGTTGTTGTCAGCATTTCCGACGAGCGCAATGCGGTGGTTGCTGACCTCGCCACCGCCGAGTCTCGCATCTCTGAGCTGGGAGCTGCAGTTGCCAGCATTACGGAAGAGCGGGGTGCAGCGGTCGCTGACTTTGCCGCCGCCCAAGCTCGCATCGCCGAGCTCGAGTCCACACTCGCCAGTGTCAAGGCGGAGCGGGTTGCAGAGGACAATGGCCTCACCGCCGCTCAAGCTCGCATCGCCGAGCTCGAGTCCACACTCGCCAGTGTCAAGGCGGAGCGGGTTGCAGAAGACAATGGCCTCACCGCCGCTCAAGCTCGCATCGCCGAGCTCGAGTCCACACTCGCCAGTGTCAAGGCGGAGCGGGTTGCAGAAGACAATGGCCTCACCGCCGCTCAAGCTCGCATCGCCGAGCTCGAGTCCACACTCGCCAACATCACGGCAGAACGCGATGCCGCCACCCCCCCTACCCCTCCCGACGACACTCGGCTCGCCGCCGCGCAAGCCCGCATCGCCGAGCTCGAGTCCACACTCGCCAACATCACGGCAGAACGCGATGCCGCCACCCCCCCTACCCCTCCCGACGACACTCGGCTCGCCGCCGCGCAAGCCCGCATCGCCGAGCTCGAGTCCACACTCGCCAACATCACGGCAGAACGCGATGCCGCCACCCCCCCTACCCCTCCCGACGACACTCGGCTCGCCGCCGCGCAAGCCCGCATCGCCGAGCTCGAGTCCACACTCGCCAACATCACGGCAGAACGCGATGCCGCCACCCCCCCTACCCCTCCCGACGACACTCGGCTCGCCGCCGCGCAAGCCCGCATCGCCGAGCTCGAGGCCTCCATGGCCACCATGGTCGAAGCTTCGTTCGCCACAGAGCTGCAGCAAAACATGGCAACGCTGATGGCCAACACCCAGACCATCCAGCAGAACTTCCAGTCGGCTCTCGCCGCCAAGGACGCCCGCCTTGCAGACGTACAGCGGGCGCTTAAGGCTCTCGACGCCCGGACCACCGCGACTGTCACCCGCGCTGCCGAGCGCATCTCGGCCCAAAACGCGCTCATCGCTGACCTCCACGCCAAGCTCCGTGCCCTCAACGAGCTCAACCTCCAGCTCCGTACTCAGATGACAACATGAATTTACGCGCGAACATTGGTCCGGTCCGCAAACGGCACCGCCCGCTCGACGGACTTGACCGTCGCGGCCGGCGCGCTCCGCGGCTCGCTTCCCATCAGCGACCGGTCAAGGTGCGCCTTGACTGTCCGGAACTCGACCTCAAACTTCGCCTTCTTCCCGTCGAGCGCCGCCGCCTCCGCCGCCAGCCGCGCCTGCGCTGCCGCGAGCTCGCTTGTCTGCGTGCTCACCATCGCCTCGCGCGCCGCCACCTGCTGCTCCCGGAACTCAAGCGCGTCCTCGGCCTCAGCCATCTCGGAGAGGTTGAGGCAGTCGGGCGCGTCAAAGGCCCTGCCGGGACCTGCTGCAGGTGTGAGGAGCACCTTTTCCAGCGCATGGATCCGGTCCTGCGCCTCGAGACACCCGGGACACGGGCCGGTCGCCGCCACTGGCGCTGCAACTGGCGCCGCCGCTGGCTTATCCGCCTTGATCTTGAGCAGCTCGTACGACGATGCCCGCGAGACAAGATCCGTCAGCCACGTAAACCGCTCCTCGAGCATGCCCTCGGCAAGGAACGCCGTCTCCTCGGTGTAGCTCCCGGCGCCAAAGATGTCGCGGATCGCCACAGGCGCAGATCCCCAGTCGGCTGCCCCCGCCGCTGCGCCCGAGTCTAGCTCGTCGACCTTGAACACCTCGAGAAGCGCGCTCTGCATGTTGCGGAGCGAGGACCGAAGCCGCTCGTTGGCTGCGTGCGCATCTTCCCGCGCCGCCACCTCGTCCGCCAGCCGCTGCTCAAGCAGCTTGACTCGTCCGGACGCGTGCTCGGCGTCGGTCTGCTCTGATGCCCGCACCGTACGCGGCGCGAGGAAGGCCGTTAGCCCACGCGGCATGCTCCGCCCGCCCGCTGCTGCCCCGCCACGACTCCGTCCGCGTCCGCGCCCGCTGCCTGCCGCACGCACGCTCCGCCCGCCGCCGATCTTGCGTGCAAGCTGCTTGCGGAGCCGGTCGAGCTCGAGCTCGGCGCGCTTTCGCTCCGCCGTGTACTGCGAGCTCATGGTTGAGATCTCCGACTTGGCCTGCCGCAGCTGGGCAACCAGCTTGCGCTCGCGCTGCGCCAGTCCGCGCGCCTTGGTTTGAGCCCGCTCGAGATCAACCTCCAGCCGGGTCAGCGCCTCGCCGCGAACGTCCGACTCGTGCTGCGCGCCCTCGGCCGTCACGCCCATCTTCTTGAGCGCCACCCGCGCCAGCCGCAGTTCCTCCGCCGACTTCTTGCCCTCCTCCAGCGTGCCCTGGTACGCTTCCAGCACCCGTTGGAGCACGTCCAGCACCGCCTCGCGCCCGCACGCGCTCCCGTCGAGGAGATCGAGCCCGCTGTCCGTGAGGCCAAACTGCTGCAAGCAGGCCTCCAGCAGCCGCGCCTGTCGCGCCGCGCCGTCATGCTCCGCCACCGCCGCCGGACTCGGTCCCGCCACAGCAGCCTCTTCCACTACACCGCCAAGCACCGCATCGCCGTCGTCAGCAGCGCCCGTCCCAGGCGTGGCCAGGCTCTCCGCCGGACTCGGCGAGCTGGTGCAGCTGAGGTAAGCCTCAAAGTCGGGCGTCTCACCGCCGGCATCCACCCAGAACGAAGCCATGGTCCAGCAGATGACAGTCGTGTGTGTGCTTCTCTGGCCACAGTCAAGTGTGTCTGCGTCTGCGTCGGTAGTCATCCTTGGCTCGCCCGTCGTCGCTCCCGCCTCCTCACCCATCTCGCCCGAGTTGGGCGCCAAAGCAATGGCCGCGGCACAAAAATTCAAAAATTTCACGTTTGGCCAAAAAACGGGCAAGCGCACCAGCGCCAACGACGTCACCAAGCTCGCCACCCGACTCTCGCAGCTGTCACAGACCAGGAGCTTGTGCACAGACTAGAAAGAAGAGAAAGAAGACGCAGCTACCGCAGCAGCAGTACCAGCAAGTTTGATTAGTATGGCAGGAGTCGCTCCGCCGTCGTCGTCGTCGGCCTCAGGCTCGGCCTCAGGCTCGTCCAACGGCCAGGCCGGAAGCATGGGTGAGGCCGGCCTCTCGGCCAGTCGTTACTACTTTTCCCTCGAGGACCCCAAGGAGAACTGGGAAGTGGGTGACAAGGTCGGTGCCGGCTCGTTTGCCTCGGTCTACAAGGTTCGCCACAAGGGGACCAAGGAGATCTGCGCCGCCAAGATCATCCGCCTCAACAACAAGATGCCCAACGAGTTTGCCATGGTCAAGGATGAGGTCGACATTCTCCGCGACGCCGCCCACCCCAACATGATCACTCTCTACGCCACTTACAAGCGGACAAACAAGGTGTGGATCATCATGGAGTACTGCGGAGGCGGCTCCATCCAGTCGCTCTACCAGAAGCTCCGCCGCCCGATGACCGAAGACGAGATCAAGTTTATCCTCCGCGAGATGCTCGCTGGCCTCGCCCACATGCATGCCCATGGCATCATCCACCGCGACATCAAGGGCGGCAACGTCCTGCTCACCCACAAGGGTGAGGTCAAGCTCGCCGACTTTGGCGTCTCGGCCCAGCTCTCCCACTCGCAGCAGCGCAAGTCCACCATCGTCGGCACTCCGTACTGGATGGCCCCCGAGGTTGTCTATGAGGGTGCCACCTACGACGCCAAGGCTGACATCTGGTCGCTCGGCATCACCGCCCTCGAAATGGCCGAGATGGAGCCGCCCAACTCAAAGATGGATCCCAAGATGGCCATGTACATGACCCCGTCCATGCCGGCCCCAACCTTCCGCAAGCCGGCCGCCTGGTCCTCGGCCTTCCGCGACTTTGTCCGCCTCACCCTGCAGAAGAATCCCGCGCGCCGCCCCTCCGCCGCCGCCCTCCTTGCCCATCCCTTCCTTGCTGACGCCTCCATCGCCCCACTCCGCGCTGCCATCACTCTTGTCCGCGCCCGCGCCAAGGACTCCAAGCGCGCCCGCGCTGCCGCCGCAAAGGCTGCCGCAAAGGCCGGTAAGGCTCCCGCCCAGCCGCACGCCATCCGCCGGCACGCCCCGCCGCATCCGCAGCACGTGCCGCGCCGCCACCGCGTCGCCGCAAAGGCCTCGCCCAACGCCGCCGGCCAGGCCAACCATCAAGCCGCCGTCCTCGCCCAGGCCAACCGCCCCATCCAGCCCATGCGCCATCGCATGCCTGCCATGCCTGCCATGGTGGCCTCGCCCGCCCGCCCCGCGCCCATGCCCGGCCTCGCCTCGCCGCGTCGCGCCGCCCAGAGCCCACGCCTTGGTGCCCACATGCGCTTCCTCCGCGCAAGCAACGAGAACCCGCCGCTCCGTTGATGCCACCTCCTCCACTCACCCTCTCCACACACCCGGTGCGATCGGACCCAAGACAAGGCCAGGCCACTCGATCCGGCCATTGCTCGACACTTGAGCGCCAATGATGCGCAGTATGTACAATCGATGTGAACACAGTGAACGCACCACAACCGCCGCCAACCAACAACCGTTCGCCGAATGACGGCCGGCGGCAGCAACCGCCACCGTCAGCAACAGTCAGCAGCTCACAGGGCGACAGCTCGCCAGCTCGCCAGCTCGCCAGCTCGCCAGCCGACAGTCGACAACTCGCAACCGGGACCAGGACCATCCACCCCACTCCCTGACGACAGTCGGAGATGCTCCGCAGCCTTGGTATTACAGCGACCCGTGTGGCCGCGTCGGGAGTCCTCGGCGCCGTCCGCCCGCCGTCATCGAGCCTGCTCTTTGCCGCTACCGCCGGCGCTGCAGCCCCGTCTCGCTCGCTCTCCATCCATGAGCACCTTTCACACCAGCTCCTGGTACGTCGTTCTTTGCCACCCTCTACCCTCTGCACACCCACGCCCACACCAATCCTACACACACCACCGCGCTCTCCTTGTCATCCTCTATCCAGCCATACAACTCTTGTCCTCCTCCTCTCCCTCCCCCAATCACTAGCCAAGCTTGGCTATCAACCCATCGCCCTCGCCCGACCAACGGGTCGCCAAACTCGGTCGCCCTTTTTCTTGCTTCACCACCACCACCACCACCACCACCACCACCACCACCACCACCCCTTCCCCCCTTCCCCCCCCCCCTCCCTCCCACACACCCTTACACACTCACACCTCCAAACCCCCTCCCTTCAAACTCGTACTCGTCGTGTACTTGTAGCGCGAGGCCGGTGTCTCGGTTCCTCGTGGTGGCGTGGCCTTTACCCCCGACGAGGCCGTGGCGGTCGCTGACGAGCTCCCGGGCGATGATGTGGTGATCAAGGCGCAGGTCCTTGCCGGTGGTCGTGGTCTGGGTCTCTTTGAGAACGGACTCAAGGGCGGCGTGCACATTGTGTTCAAGAACAAGCTCAAGGACATTGCCTCCAAGATGCTTGGTGGCATCCTCCACACCCAGCAGACCCCGCCCGGCGGCCTCCTCGTCAACCGGGTCATGCTCGCCGAGCGCCTGATGCTTGAGAAGGAGGTCTACTTTGCTGTCCTCATGGACCGTCAGTACCGCGGCCCGGTCATGGTGGCCTCGTCTGAGGGCGGTGTCGAAATCGAAAAGGTCGCCGCCGAGACGCCCGACCTCATCTTCAAGGAGCCGGTCGACATCCGCGAGGGCGTCAAGCGCGAGCAGGTCGAGTCGCTTGCGGCCAAGCTGGGCTTTGAGGGCGACGCCCTCACCCAGGCCGCCGACAACATGGAGCGCATCTACGAGATGTTCATTGCCAAGGACTGCACCATGGTGGAGATCAACCCGATGGCCAAGCTCACCGACGGCCGTGTCCTCGCCATGGATGCCAAGGTCAACTTTGACGACAACGCCTCCTTCCGCCAGGCCGATATCTTTGGCCTCGAGGACAAGTCGCAGGTCGACCCGCGCGAGGTCGAGGCCACCAAGTACGACCTCAACTACATCGGCCTCGACGGCAACGTCGCCTGCCTCGTCAACGGCGCCGGCCTGGCCATGGCCACCATGGACCAGATCGCCCTCCACGGCGGCGAGCCAGCAAACTTCCTTGACGTCGGCGGCGGCGCCACTGCCGAGCAGATTGCCGCCGCCTTTAAGATCATCACCTCGGACAAGCAGGTCAAGGTCATCCTCGTCAACATCTTTGGCGGCATCATGCAGTGCAACGTCGTCGCAGAGGGCATCCTCCAGGGCGGCGAGGCTCTGCGCAACGAGGGCATCGAGCTCCCGCCCGTCGTCGTCCGCCTCCAGGGCACCAACCAGGAGGAGGGCGCCCGCCTGCTCAACGAGTCGGACCTCGGCCTCATCGCCATCAACGACCTCGACAAGGCCGCCTACAAGGCCGCCACCATCGCTCGCATCGCCGAGGAGGCCGAGCTCGAGGGCTTTAAGGCCAAGTTTACTCTCCAGCAGTAGAGAGCGTCTGTAAACGCGCATTCCCCGCAGCCACCACTCAGCCCAACGTGCCCGGCTCGCCCTCACCCTCCTCGCCCTCGCCCTCGCCACCAGGCGCCGACGACGACGGCGGTGCCCGATTGCCACCGGCCCCGCGCTTGAACGGCGTGTTGAACACGTCGTACATCGTCGTCACCTTGCGTGCCCCGAGGCCCGGTACCACAGCCAGCTCCTCGAGCGACGCAGTGAGCATGTTGGCCACAGAGCCAAACGCAGTCGCCAGCGTCGCCGCATCCGTCTTGTTCACCCCGCGGACGGCCGTGAGCGTGTCTGTCAGTCGTGAAAAGTAGTCTTGCTCCGTCCGCGACTGGATGGCTTCGGGCCCTTTGTTCTCGTACGCTTTGAGTGTCTCCAGATACCGTGCCGCCTCGGTCATCGACCACGCGAGCACAAGCGTCAGCTCTGACGCCAGGCAGATCGACGCCAGCTGCGTCAGTGCCTCGGCATTGCCCTCAATGTCGACGAGGCAGAGCAGGACACGGACCCGGTACTCGCGCCCGAGCTCGATGATCCGCGTCCCGAGATACTCGGGGTGCAAGTTGTGGTACTTGAGCGAGAGAAAGAGAGCGCAGGTAAAGGCGCCTAGCCGAAAGTCGGGCACAATCGAGCCGTACTCCCACGGCACACGCCGGATAAACTTGAGCAGCGGATTCCCGCGCTGTCGTCCAGACACCACAATGCACCGAGAACTCGACGCCGAGCTCACAATCGACTCGGGCCGCGCCATCGCTGCCTCAGCGGCAGCATCCGACCTTGGCCCAGGCACGTTCGTGCCCACGCTTGCGCTTGCAGACTGCGATCGCACAGGCAGTGGCGCAGGCGCCTGATAGTGCCGCGAGTTCTGGAACGAGCCAAACTTCTCCCCCAGCAGCGGCGCTGCCCGTATCATCGCTGCCGCGCTGCGGCTCGTCGACGCCGATGACGCCGTCGATGCCGTCGATGCTGTTGATGTCGTCGATGCCGTCGATGTCGCTGATCTCGCTGACGCAATTGATGCCGTCTGCACCACATCCATATTGTTGCCCATCCCCGCCCCCGCCCCCGCCCTGCTGCTCTCCACTAGCACTGTCCCGCTCCGTGTCGTCAGCCTCGTTGCTGCCGCAGCCACCTGCGCACGAGCCACCGGATCGTCCTCAAACGCCGACGCTGGCAGGTCGAGGAACAATGGCGGGGGATCTCCCGACATTTCGAGGACAAAGAAGATGGAGAGGAGTGTGGCGGTATACTGTCTGTCTGGAGGGGTAGGGGGGAGGAGGGGGGGGGGGGGGGGGAGCGGCGAGGGACGGATCAGATCCGAACTCATCTGTGTGGTGATCAAGGTGGCTGGAGGGATGGTGAAAGACGGATCTAGAAGGCCATGGACATGGGCGAGTGGTAGAATGCGTGGATCAGATAGAGGGGTTATGAGTGGTGCATCGCTTGTGTGGCAAAGTGGGACAAGCTGTCGCCCTCTTCTTCCTCTCGCCACAGCCGCAATCAGAGAGATCCATTGCCCCTCATCCTCATCGCCCCTTCTCCCCACACACACAGAGAGAGAGACACAGACACACACACACACACACACAGAGACACACACAATCCCCATTCCCCATCCTCTCCCTCTCCCTCTCTCCATCACACCTCCCGATCTCCCGATCTCCCGATCTCCCAGCCCCCCTCCCCCTCCCACCGCCCTCGTCTCCTCTGCTACCACCACCACCACCTCACCACACACCACACGCCGCACACCACACACACCGAATACACTACCCCAATGCTCGTCCTTGCCATCCTCGGTACATCCATAGCTTACGTCGCTGGCTTGGTGGGCGTTCACTGGTCTGCTGCCATCCTCTGGGTGGTCCTTGTCGCTGTCTTTGTCGCCTACGCCCAAGCCGAGCGACGTGAGGCCGCCGCCACTGCCGCCGCAGCTGCATCCACCGCATCTGCAAGAGCATCAGGCCCATCACCATCGGCACCATCATCATCATCATCGTCGTCGTCGTCGATATCGACACCAGCAGCAGATCTGGGCTTCCTCAACGCTACGCTGCAGCAGTGGTGGCGAGTATACATTGCGCAGAGGCATGTCGAGGCCTGGATACAAGAGACGGTCGAGGCCATGCTCAACCAAGCCAAGCCGGGCTACATCCGATCCTTCACTGTCACCAGTCTCACCTTTGGTGCGACAGCGCCTGTTCTCTCAAACGTGGTCTTTGTTGACGAGGCAAAGGACGGTGACGATGGTGTCCGTCGTCTTGTCTACGATGCCGATGCCAAGTACTACGGCGGCGCAAAGCTCGCCATCCAGGCCATCATGGTCTCTGCAGGCAAGGTCTCCATCAAGCTGCCCATCGAGATCTCGCGGCTAGCCATGATGGGCCGGCTGCGCATCACGCTGACCCTCAATCCGGTCCCGCCGGGCACCATCCCGCTCGACTACCCGGGCTACTCGGAGGCCACCGCCCCGCCGTACTGGTACTACGAGGGCTACTTTGTCTCGGCCTCGTTCGGCTTTCTAACGCCACCCTCGCTCTCCATCTCCATCAAGTTTCTCAAGCTGGTCAACCTCGCAGAGGTTCCGGGCCTCTCCAAGTGGCTCAAGACCATCCTCACCGACGCCATCGTCTCGTCCTACGTTCTGCCCAACGAGTACTTTATGGACTTTGTCGAGTGGTACGGCATCCCCAAGCCGACTGACGGCTCTGCCGATGCTGATGCCGATGCTGATGCCGATGCCGATGCCGATGCTGACCTGCGCTCTCAGCCTGCGCCAATGGCGACTGACGTCAACGCCTCGGGTGGCGCAGCCTCGGAGCTTCCGGCCTCTGGAGCCCCGGTCGCGGTGGCGGCGGCAGCAGCCGCGGCAGCGGTTGCCGGCACAGCTGCTGCTGCCGCCGCTGCCTCGTCGGCGTCGGCGGCACCGGCTACCAAGCCCCTGCCGCGCTCGTCGCTCACTCAAGCGCTTGATCTCGACTTGCTTGTGGTGCCGCAAACAGAGAGCGGACACGCTGCGCCGGCGACGCCGCCCAGGACGGGCTCTGTCAGCAACGAGTCGGCGCCCGGCAGCGACAGCATGGCCACATCGCCGTGCGCCGATGCTCACGTCGGCATTCCGATTCCGGGCGCTGACGCCGAGTCAGACGACCTGAGCGCCGCCTCGTCGACCTCGCCGCATCGCCAGCGGCTCTCGACCAAGCTGCGGTCCAAGGCGCGGTCGACGGGCAAGTTTTTCAAGTCGATCATGACCCGCAAGCACGACGACGAGTCCGCTGATGCGTCGTCGTCCTACGCCGCCGACGAGCCGAGCGCCGAGTCGAGCCAGGTAGAGACCGACTTTGAGCGGCGCCTAGCCGCCATCCGTGCCGAGGTCGACGACGTCGACGCCACCGAGTTTGCCGCCCTCTCCCAGTGTTTCCGGCTCGCCGAGATGGCCTCGCCCAAGGCGACTAACTATGCGCAGACAAGAGCCGAGCTGCAGCAGACGATGGAAGACCACGCGTCTGCCCTCGAGCGCCGGCTCCGCGACGTTGATGCCGAGCTCGAGCAGCTCACCCGCGAGTTCAAGCGCCAGTCCACCTTTAAGCGCATGACCTCGCGCGATGAGGCCACCGAGCTCAAGCGGCTCCGCAACCGAGCTGCCCAGCTCCGCCGCTCCACCCGCGAGTTCTTCGAGTCCAAGTTTGCCACTTGGATCTCGTCGTCAAGCTCTTGACCACCAACTCGCGACCAAAATAATACACGCCCAACCGCCAACCATCATGCAATCCACGTGGCAACTCGCTGCCGGCGCCCACGCCACCGCCGGGACGGCACCACGGGCCATTGTTCGATGGCTGACAATCATCGAACATTGAACATTGAACAACGAACGTAAGCGAGCGTCAGTGACGGCAGCCAAGGACGACCACCCGTCTGCTGCTGCGAGGAGGGCAGAGGAGGGCAGAGGAAGAGATGCAGAACATAGGAAAGGGCTGGGCTGCAAGCGCCAAGGCTCAACTGACGTCACTTCCTTCGGCACACCCGCTGGTGGTCCTCTCGGCTTTGGCTCTCACCGTCGGCACTCTGGGGCGGACCCTCATCTACCGCCGCTACGTCCTGCCGTCGCTCAAGGATGCGACCCATGTCGGTCTCACTGTCGCCGTTCCGGGTGATGATCCGCCTGCGTCACCAGACGGTCGTGCTCGTCGCGCCCGTCGCCGGGCAGACTCGGGCACGTCGGCGTCGCCGCTGGCGAGTGCCGCCGCCATCAGACCCTCGATCTCCTTCTCGCTCGATGATCCTGAGGTCTCCGACGCAGAGGGTGTGGCCGATGAGGAGGCTGTGGCGCTGGTCCTCGACGAGTTAGTGGCCCAGCGGCGGGAAATCGGGTTTGATGACGTCTCGCCCACGCCGGGGCCGTGGTACACGCCCGGCCCGGTCGGCGTCGGCGACGAGTGGATCTTGCCCGAGGGCATGGACCGCGAGCAGGCCGCCGGCCTTGGCCTCTCCGCCATTCGCTCGCTCTCGTCGTCGGCAATTGCCCACGATGCGCTCGGGTGCACGGTTGCCGGCCGGCAAGACGCCCTGGCCGCCATCCGCGCCGAGAACATGGGCCCGCTCGCCGCACTGCTGGCGTCGGACCCACTCCTCGCCGCGCTTGCACCCGAAGAGCTGAGCGCCCTGGTCGCCGCCGGTACGTTTGAGACCTTTGAGCCTGGTGAGAGCGTGTGGTCTATCGGCGATCCCGACGAAGACCTCTGCCTCATGCTCTCGGGCTCGATCGTCATCAGCTCGGGCGGCGAGCTGCTCCGGACAGCATCGGCCGGGGAGATCATCACGTCGATCATGTCGGTGCTGGAGGCTCTTGCCGGCGTGCCCTCGGTCTTCAAGACCATCACCGCCCGTGCCGACGCCACCGACGGCGCGTCGCTCCTCCGCATTCCGGCAGCAGCCTTTCGCGCCGTCACCGAGTCGAACGCCTCGGTCCTCCCGCAGCTGCTCGAGGTCATCCTGCTCAAGCTCTCCAAGGTCACCTTCCTCACCATGTACGCCTACCTCGGGCTCACCACCGAGCTTGTCGCGCCGCAGCTGCCCGGCGAGTCGGGCCCGGAGACAAAGGCTGAGTTTGGCGACGAGTCGGTCGCTGATGCACCGGGCGACAGCCGCGACGACAACGACGACGACCAGTCTGTGGCGTCGTCGGCGGCGTCGTCCGAGGCCGCGCTGATCTTTGACGACGTGGCTGTGCAGCTGGCCGAAGCCTTGGGCATCGCGCCAGACTCGGAGGCGGCTCGTGACCTCAAGCGAAACCTGGTGCTCAAGCAGGCAGGGCCGGGCAAGGTCGTCCTCAAGCGCGGTTCTAACGAGACCGAGCTCTGCCTCATTGTCTCCGGCTCGCTGACGGTGTGCATGGTCTCGCTCGAGGGCGCGCACGTCGAGCTGTACTCGGCCGAGCGCGGCGAGCTGTGCGGGCAGCTTGCGGTGCTGACACGCGAGCCGTCGCTTGTGCACGCGTACACCCGCGACGGGTGCGTTGTGGCCATGGTCTCGCGCTCGCTCTTCTGGTCGCTTGTCGATACTGCGCCGACGGTGCTGCAGCACCTGGCGGTCGACGTTCTCCGCCGGCTCTCGCCGCTAGTCCGCTGTCTCGACTTTGCGCTCGACTGGATTCACGTCCGGTCGGGGCAGTGGCTCTACACCCACGGCGAGCCTGCCGATGCCATTTACATTGTGCTCTCGGGCCGGATGCGATCGGTGCCTGCTGGCGAAGAGGCGACACGCGACGCGGTGGCCATGGAGCATGGCCGCGGTGAGTCACTCGGCGAGCTGGAGATGCTTGCCGGCGTGAAACGGACCAAGGCAGCAATGGCCATCCGTGACGCGCAGCTGGTCCGAATCCGCAAAGAGACCTTTGCCTTTATCTGTGCGCGGTTTCCGGTGCTAGCACTGCGGTTTGCGGGGCGGATGTCGCGGCTGGCGCTGGCGGCGGTTGACGACGACGCCGCGCCCGAGCCGCTGGCGGCAGCGCCGACGCCGGGCAAGCCACTGGGCGCCCATGCCCTGCCGCGCCCGGACCAGGCCAACGTGGTGGGGAGGACGAACTCGGTGAAGACCATCGCCGTTGTGCCGCTTGACCACGGTGTGGCCGGCCCCGAGTTTGTGGCCAACTTTGCGTCTGAGCTCGAGCGGGTTCTTGTCCGCTGCGGCCATGCACCGACCAACGGCAAGGGCGTGGCAGTCCTTGACGCCGCGAGCGTCTCGAGCCTGGGCACGGTGGCGCGGATGGCGTCGCCGCACGCGCGGGAGGTTGCACTGATGGACGCGCTCTCGCGGCTGGAGGACGCACATGAGTTTGTGCTCTACCGCACGTCGGTCGTCGGCTCGCGGACCGAGCCTTCTGAGCAGGAGTGGCTCCTCCGAGCCTTCCGGCAGGCCGACGTGGTGCTCTTTGTTGGCTCGACCGGCCCGACGCAGATCCGGTTTGCGGAGCGGATGTTTGAGGAGCTTGCGCTCTCGTCGCGGTCCGAGCTTGTGCTCATCCACCCGCCGGCGACGGTGCTGCCGCGCGGGACCCGCGAGTGGCTCGACGCCCGGCCGTGGATCGACGCCCATCACCACTGCCGCAAGGGCAACGGCGTGCACATGGGCCGGCTGGCACGGCGGGTGACCGGCACCGCGCTCGGCCTTGTCCTCGGTGGCGGTGGCGCCAAGGGCCTCTCGCACCTCGGCATGCTCAAGGAGCTGGAGACACGCGGCTCGGTTGTGGATGTGCTCGGCGGGACATCCATCGGCGCATGCATCGGTGCGCTGTATGCTCAGGAGGAGTCGGCTGCGGCGGCGCTGCGGCGGCTGGAGCCGTTCAACGCGCACATGGCGTCCAAGTGGCGCAAGCTCTTTGACCTCACGTACCCCGCCACGGCCATCTTTACTGGGCGGGCCTTCAACCGCGGCCTCATTGCGCTGCTCGGCCCAGACGCCGACATCACCGACCTATGGATCCCGTTCTTCTGCGTCTCGACCGACCTCACCAAGGGCCGGGTCCGCATCCACACCGAGGGTGTGCAGTGGCGCTACGTGAGGGCGTCGATGACGCTCACCGGGTACCTGCCGCCGATGTGCGACCCGGTCGACGGGTGCACCCTCCTCTGCGACGGTGGCTATGTCAACAACTGCCCGGCCGACATCCTCATCAACCTCCACGCGCCCGGCCGAGTCATCGCCATCGACGTCGGCGCCAAGGACACCTCCGAGGTCACCTTTTACGGCGACGAGCTCTCCGGCTGGTGGGTTCTCTGGAAGCGGTGGTTCCCCTTTACCCAGCCGGCGGCCATCCCGTCCATGCAAGAGATCTCGTCCTCGCTCGCCTACGTCACCGGCCGAGTCCACCTCGAAGACCACGTCATCGGCGCCGCCCACGGCCGGCTCCAGTACTACGCCCCGCCCATCCAGGGCTTTGCCACTCTCGACTTTGACCGCGCCGACGAGATCTACCAAGTTGGTCTCGAGTATGCCCAGCAGCAGGGCCCGGAGTTCTCTTGAACCACCGTCTCTCCACCGCTATCACCCGCTTTGCCCATCATCAACCCATCGTCACCAACACCCCAGCCATCGCCATCACCCATCAGCATCCCCTGATTCGCCCATCCGTACCCCCGACCACCCCCCCCCCCCCCCCTGTCCCGCACCATTCGTGAAGTCTACCAAATTACCACGCCACCCCCCACGCCACGCCACACCACCACACCCCACACACACCACTCAACGCGACATCATCAACTTTATCATGGACGAGACGACCAAGCAGGAGCTTGTGGCAGCATGCCGGGCGGGCGAGATGAAGACTGTGCAGGAGCTTGCGGGCGAGGGAGGCGTGGGCAACAACGAGGTGGAGGTGGATGGCGTGAGTGACACTCCGCTGACGGCGGCGGCTCGTGGCGGCCATGTCGAGCTGCTGCAGTGGCTGATGACTGATGGCGGATGCGATGTGAACAGCTCCATGGATGACGGTTCGACGCCGCTTCACATTGCTTGCTTCTTGGGAAAGATCGAGGCTGCGCAGTGTCTGGTCGAGGCTGGCGGCGCTGTGGTCGACCAGACCGAGCACAACGGTGCCACGCCGCTGTACTTTGCCGCTCAGGAGGGCCATCTGGACGTCATCCGCTGGCTCGTGGGTGACGCCGGTGCCGATGTCAACGTCGTTCGTGAAGGCGGCTGGACTCCGCTCGCTGCCGCCGCTCAGTTTGGCCATCGTGACATTGTCGCCTTTCTCGTGGCAGACGGCGGCGCCGAGGTCGACAAGCCGCTCGATGACGGCGCCACCCCGCTGTACCTTGCGGCCCAGGAGGGCCATCTGGAGCTCGTTCAGTGGCTTGTCACCGACGGCGGCGCAGCTGTCAACCACGCCACTAACGCCGGCGCCACGCCGCTCACCGTCGCCGCAAGCAACAAGCACCTCACCATCGTCCAGTGGCTCGTCACCTCGGGCAGCGCCGACCTCTCCATGGCCGTCGCCGGACGGTAGCTCTCTTCTCACACGCGTTGCGCGAGTTGATAAAGTACCACGCCACTCTGCTCTTTACTCGAGCTGCGCCACATACTGCTTGGCCATCGAGACCGCGGTCGCCGCGCCGGCCACGCCGACAACGTACGAGATCGAGAGCACTGCCGCCGACTGCGCCACCGAGAACACCGTCCGGAGCAGCCACCCGAGAGTGAGCTCCGGGCTCGCCGTCCTGCGCGCCCCGCTGCTGCTTCCAGCCGCGGCCACCGGGCTTCCACTGCTGTGGACGCATCCGTGGGCTTCAAACTCGTCGAGCGCGGCGACAACGGCCGTCGCATTGGTCGTGCACACCGTGATGATGCTCGGGGTCAGCTCGATGTCCGCCACAGAGAGCTGTGCAGGCAGCGAGGACCGGGTGAGGAGCCGGTCGTTGGAGACGACCACAAAGTCGGCGAGGTTGCGGACAGCACCCGCGTCGAGCCCGAGCTCGGCGCCGTCGGCAAGGTCGAACAGCCGCTGGTGGACAGCAGTGAGGAGGTTGGCCATCGCCGCCACCTTTGCCCCGTAGTTGGTCTGGAAGTAAGCCATGAGTCCGTCCGGGTTGGCGGTGAGCACGCCCTGGGCCGCCGCCAGCGCGGCCACGCGAGCAGCCTCGGCCTGGTGGGTCGTGTACGGCACGACCTCGTCGAGCAGCGTCGCCGCAAACGCGTTGTCGCCAGCAGTGTGGCGCGCGAGACCAGCAAGGAGGCTGGCCGTGACCTCGGGGGTCAGTCGCGGTGCTTGCGACGTCGCGCCCTTGAACAGTGCGCCGATGCCGGTCTGCAGCGTCGCGAGGTCGCTGCCAGCGAGGCTGGAGACCCGCGCCGGGTCGTGGAGCGCCGCCGGCTTGCGCCGCGCCACCGCTGTCAGCACAAACGCGACCAGCCGCGGCCAGGCCAGACCCGAGGTCGCCGGCACCGCCGCCGGGAAGCCAATGAGGCCGAGTGCACCGAGCGCGTCAAACTGGCTCGCGATCCACAGAGCCTCGCCGAGCTCGGTCGAGAGGTTCTTCCGGTTCTTGCCCACTAGCATCTGCGAGAGATTGCCGGTCGTGAACGGGAGCACAATCGGGTAGTTCCGCGCCAGCAACTGGAGCAGCAGCCGGCTCCCGTTCCACGACGACGCATGGCCGCGCATGGTCGGGTGGTCGATGACGTGCCGGGCGAGCTTGTCAAAGAGGTCGACCACGCTCGGGAGCTCGCTCACGCCCGACTGGGCCCATTTGTCGAGCACAGCCACAGCTTTGCGCGCCCGCGACGTGGTGCACTTGCCGAGCGGGCCGGCAATGGCATCCAGCATCTGCTCCTCGCTCAGCTTGGCGCTCAGCGCCAGGCGGGCCATGGGCCGCGAGCCGGCCAGCGCCGCCTCGAGCGCCTCGGTCAGCACCATGCCCTGAGCCAGAAAGTTGCCGGGATGCTCCGCCACGGCCGCCGTCACCATATCCCGGACATCGATCCTGGGAAGGACCACGGCGAGCTCCTCCAGCGCGGCCAGAGCCTTTGCCTTGGCTTTCTTCTTCCGCTCGCGCTCCTTGGCGGCGGCCTTCCGCTCTGCCGCCCGCAGCCGTTTCTTCTCCTCGGTAGACATCATGGCCAACCGCTCCGCTCTGCTCTTCTTGGCCTCCTCCGCCTTTTTCGCCTCCTCCAACGCAGCCATCTGTCCGTAAATCGTCGTCTTCCGCGCCGCCGCCGCAGCAGCAGCAGCATGCGCCTGGTCAGACTCCTCCGTCGCCGCCTTGGCCGCCGCGTTGCGCTTCTTGCTCGTCACGTGTGTCCATCCAGACATGGTCGGTATGTTGGCCCTGGGGATGGGGTAAGGTGAGGTGTGTCGCTAGCTGTCGTGCTCCTGTGCGTCGTGTCGCCCTTCCCCTTCCTCCCCCCCCCCCCCCCTCCACCCTCGCGACTCGACCGACGCTGTCACTGGTCGCCGGTCGCCGGTCGCCGGTCGTCGCCGGCCGGTCGCCGGTCGCTGGTCGCCGGATCCAAAGAGCCAATCGGGTCACAAGGTGACTGCAAGACGACGATAGCGATGGCAAGCAACTATATACGTAGGATGGATGGGAGTGTTTTGGGACGGTGGGGGGACATGGGCTTGAGGGGTGGAATGGGCATCGCATCGATTTTATAGTCCGTCGTCTGGTGGCAGTCGGGAGATCAGTGCGATCACGTCGCTGTGTTGTAGCTCACACGGGGCAGTTCTTCCGCTCCACGCCTCATCCACCACACACACACACACACACACACATACATACACACACACGTTTACCCACACTCGCCACGCATGTCGTTTGGATTGCCGATCCGCAATGACCTCGATACATGACCTTGATCAAGCAGATCAGGCCTTGCATGGCGGCGCATCTTTGCGCGCTGACGGCGCGTTATGTCGCGGTCACGAAGCTGATCTTCTCGGAGGGCTGGAACGCCAGGACAAAGGCTGTAATCAAGTTGCGCTTTTCATCCTCCCTCCTCCCTCCCCTCCCTAAAATGAGCATGACACATACGATCTGATCGACGTAGTCGCCAGCCATCGCCAACCAACCCCAACCCCAATCGGGCGCATCTACGTTTTTCGGAAGCCGGGCTCCATCCCCCTCATCTACCCTACCCTCACCCAACCCCTACCACAACCGAGTTCTTCTTCTTCTTCTTCTTCTCCTCCTCCTCCTTCCCCCGCCACCATCGCCCAGCCCCTACCACAGCCAAGATCCCCCCCCCCTCCAACGCCGATCACCTCCCAACCACGGGAAACCACACCGCTCTTGGTTTGGGCGGTACTCGACATGTTTTCGTGGTTCTCGCGCTCGTCGCAGGCGTCCGAGTCGTCATTGTCGCCTCCACCAGAGGCAAGGCCGACGTCGGCTGAAGCTGTGACGGAGCCGAGCGACACGAGGCCTCTGCGACATGTGCTGGTCATCGACACGGCTGCGACGGATTGGGCTGCCACGTTTGCGGCGGCCGACTCGGCCGAGGCTGGCGGCTGGCCGTGGAAGATCGAAGTGACGCAGGCCGAGTGGGCCGATGTCCGAGTGACGGCTGAGACGTCGCGCGGAAAGCGAAAGACGCCGCTGGTGTTTGTGCGCGGTGGCGGGGCGCCGTGCAGGCCGGACCTTGTCCTCGTCCGCAGCCTTGTCCGCGGCCTCACGCCCGATCGCGACTACCGCAACCAGATGTACGCGCTGCGGATGGCTGGCGTGACTGCCGTCAACTCGTGGGAGTCCATCATGAACTGCCAGGAGCGGCCGTGGCTCCATGCGGCGCTGCTCGACCTTGTCGACGCCGTCGGCCACGACGCCTTTCCGCTCATCGACCAGCAGCTGTTCCCTCTCGCGGGCTCGATTTCGTTCCCCTCGTTTATGCCGTGCGTCATCAAGGTCGGCCACGCCGAGGCCGGCTACGGCAAGATGCGGGTGTTTTCCGACAAGGATCTGACCGACGCTTCGTCACTCCTTGCCCTCCACCGCGACTACGCCACCATCGAGCCCTACATCGACGAGGACGCGCGCGAGTACGACCTGCGCATCCAGAAGATTGGCCCGCACATCCGGGCCTACAAGCGGTACTCGCCCAATTGGAAGGGCAACGTCGGCACGGCGCTCATCGAGGAGATAGCAGTCACGCCGGCGTATGCCCGCTGGGCCGAGCTCGCCGCAGGCCTCTTTGGCGGCATTGACATTTGCACCGTCGACGCCATCCATCTGCACGACGGCTCCGACGTCATCCTCGAGGTCAACGACACCGCCTCGGGCTTTATGACCGGCAACGAGTGGGAGGACAATCTCCACGTGGCGGCCGTCGTCCGTGCCCGCCTCGCCGGCGACGACCCGTGTGCTGGCGGCTCGGTCCTTGCTCTCCACCCACCGGTCTCGTCTGAGGGCAATCAGACCGACGCCAGCCAGACCGACGCGGGAGACGTCGACGACGACTCAGACTGGTCATCCGACCAGTGATTCTACCGCCACTCTGTCACGGCTCAACGACCGTGTACAACTTGACCTTGTGCAGGTACTTGTCCTCGCACTCGCGGTCCTTCCGCCAGTAAGTGAACGACTCGCCCTCGCGATCGACGAGCTTGCGGATGTACCCGTTTTCCCACCGCAGCGGCTCGCCGCCGTTGGCCTCGACATACTCCTCCATCGTCTTGTAGCCAACCGATTGCAGCCGAAACGCCTCTTCCACCTCGGGCGACCACTTTTTTGCCCGCACCATCTTCATCCGCGGCCCGCCGCCACGCCCACGCCCACGGCCTCGCCCGCGCCCACGCCCGCGTCCGCGACCGCGACCGCGCCCACGCCCACGTCCTCGCCCGCGCCCACGCCCACGCCCGCGACCGCGCCCACTGCCGGTCCCTGCCGACGGACCAGCGCCGTCATCGCCTCCAACTCCCCCATCATCGCCCCCATCCTTCGGCCCATCCCTCGGCTCGCCGTCGCCACCCGACTCGCCCGCGCTGCCGCCCGCTCCCTCGGCGCCCAGCCCGGCACCGGCGCCGGAACCACTCTCGGGCGTCTGCTCCTCCGACTCGCGCAGAGACTTGGGCATAAGCAAGTCTGTGATGGACATAATGTCGTAGGCGTATAGCGGAAGGAGTGGCTCTTGCGTCTGCTGCGTGTCTGGCTCGCCTGTGTCCGGTCTCCGCCGTCCGAGTTGAGTGCCACCGCGCGCCGCTCGCCGCCCGCCCGCCCACCCGCCCGCCCGCCTACCCGACCACCATCCGATCACCACCCGATGGCCCGATGACCCTCACCGCCCTTGCTCCCCCCGCCCGACCCCCGACCACCTGCCCGACCACCTGCCCGAACACCCATCACACTGCCAACTGCGGACGGATCAATGCCATCGCGGACGGTACCCCTCCAGTCCAAAGCCCTGATCAGCATCCCCTGGCAGTGTCAGTCCCAACTCGATCAACAACCGTAGTTCATGCTGCAGCCTACATCCGGCGTGCTGGCCTCCAGGCCCACATCATTGGCCGAGTCTGTGCCACGCTTCTCTCTCTCTCATTTGTTCAATCAACTCAAACCATGGGGGCCGAAGTGACCAAGATGTGCGGGTACGTATCTGGAGCATACGACCATGTCGTCGCCGCCCTCCCCCCCGCCCCCGCCCCCCTCCTCCCCATCACAACGTAGTCTTGTACCCATGCTGACTTCCACCTCCTCTCCCCGTCTATGGCTGCATCTGGCGGCGGTGGAGTCGGAGACGGCGACCGTTGCGAAACGGTTCCCAAACAGGCAATGAACCACACGTGGGCCTTGACGCATACATGTCGCCGTGGCGTTTTTCCCGGTGGACGCTGGAAAAATTGTTATTGTTGATGGATGCCATTCGCCGGTGTTCTTGGCGACGCTGCTCACCACTCACCCTTTCCTCTCTTCTGGCTTCCTTTCGCTTGGGCGGGCAGTGGCGATGCGGATGGCGATGGCATTCCCGATGCGCTCGAGGACATGATGGAGGACCTCAGCTTAGACAAGATCATCGAGGCTATCATGGACGCACTGGAGCGTGGTGTGCGGTTTGCGGTGGAAAAGGCATCAGCTGTCGGCGGCTTTCTCAACAACCCCAAGATCCACATTCCCTGGCCGGAGCGGTTCACCAAAGTCAAAGAGAAGCTGGAGAAGATCGGCTTCCGCGACACCATTGCCGAGTTTGTCGAGTCGCTCAACAGCGCTGCCGAGCGCGCAGCGGGCTCGGCCGTTGACATCTTTGTCGGCGCCATCCGCGGCCTCTCCTTTGACCGCGCCCGCGAGATTCTCGACGGCGGCGCCGACGCATGTACCGCCTTTCTGCGCGAGATGTGCTACGAGCCGCTCAAGAACATGTTCAAGCCCATCGTCGATGCTGCCCTTGAGGCCGTTGACGTCACCGCCATGTGGGACAAGCTTGTGAAGGCGTACAACAAGATCCTTTCGTCGACGACATCCCGGTCGACTTTCTCGACGACTACGCTGTGACCAAGGCTATCTCGGGTCTTTTTGAGCTGATCAAGGACAAGGAGGCCGAGATCCGGGCTAACCCCGCCGGCGAGGGCTCTGAGCTCCTCGAGTCTGTCTTCTCCCAGGCCGCGGGCTTTGCCGGCGCCTCTGGATGATGTGATGCTCCTCCGCTCCCCGCCCGCTTCCCGCGCTCCTGTCCACCATTGAAAGCTACGTGCTAGAGCTTTACATCTCACCGCACTCGGTGATGACGCACGCAACCTTGGGCTGGTTCTGCGGCGTGGTGGGAACGGCCTCGAGCTTGCGGACCGTGAGCATGCCCTCAATGACGCGGCCAAAGACGACGTGGACGCCATCGAGCCAGTCTGCCGCTGCGGTGGTGATAAAGAACTGGCATCCGTTCGAGTCCTTGCCCGAGTTGGCCATGGAGAGGAGGCCCGGCCCGGTGTGCTTGATGTCAAAGTTCTCATCCTCAAACGAGGCGCCGTAGATGGAGAGCGAGCCGGTGCCATCGCCCGCCAGAAAGTCGCCGCCCTGGATCATAAAGCCCTTGATGACCCGATGAAAGGGGCAGCCCTTGTACCCAACAGGCTCGCCCATCTTCTTGAACTCACCCGTGCAGAGCTGCCGGAAGTTCTCGGCCGTCCTCGGCACCACGTCAGCAAACAGCTCCATTTTGATCCGCCCGGCCGCCTGCCCTCCGATCGACACGTCAAAGAACACAATCGGATTGTCGTTGACTCCAGGCGCCTGCGGCTTCTCCGCCATGCCCGGCACCGCCACCACGGGCTCGCCCGTCACCTCGCCGCCACCGCCGCCTACCGCGCTGCCTCCCTCCACCGCTCCGCCTCCTCCAGCCACAGGCCCGCACTTGGTCCAGCACTCGCCATGTTGTTCCAATATATATCTCTTGCTCCTCCCTCTGCTACTGCTGCTACTGCTGCTGCTGCTGCTGTTGTTGCTGCTGCTGCTGCTGCTGCTCCTGCTTCTCACCGAGTCGCTCTCGCCTCGCCTCGGTAGCTGCTCTCCACCAATCAATGAAAAGTCGAGTGTTGCCGCCTTGCCCCCCCCCCCCCCCCCCCTCCCCCTCCCCCACATTCTCATCCCATCCCATTCCTTCAATATACCCCTTGCTCCAGGACCAAAGGTCAAGAGTAGTATGTGAGCACATCTTGGTGCGCGCCACGGACAAGGACGGTGGGAACATCGCCGACGACGTGCATCTCGTTCCACGCCAGCCAGACATCGTCGGGCACAATGCTCGCGGGCAGCGGCATGGTGACGATGACCAGGCCGGCGTCCGACGACATTTCGCGGAGAAGGTCGCGCTGCCGGAGCAGCTGGCGGGTCTTGGACGAGATGCGGGTCTCGGACGCGGGTGCCACCTCGCTCCATTCCCTCAGCGAGCGCTCCGACGGCTCGAGCGTGAGATCGACGACCTCGGTCGAGGTGTAGGGGATGCGGAATCGGGTGAGCATCCGCTGCAGCTTGGGGAGGAGGACGTTGAGCGACTTGGACGTCTCGTTGCCGCACTGCAGGCCACCGGCAATGATGCGGAGCGAGCACTTGCGCCACTCCTTGTTCTGCCGCAGCAGCCACGCCATGAGCAGCGGCAGCCCACCGTCGGCGGCCATCCACCACACGTCGATCCGGCCCGAGACCGGGAGCGCGTCCGGAAAGTTGGGCACTGGCGCCCGGACAAGGACCGTCGAGTAGTCGAGGACCAGCGCCTCGCGCACCGTCCGCACAAGCTCGCTGTCCGCTCCCGACCGCGTCGTCGGCAGCTCGAGCACAATCGTGTTGGGCCGGAGCTTGCCCACTCCGGCCGTCTGCAGCAGCAGCCGGTGGCCCGACTGCAGGTCCGGCGCAATGACCGAGTCGATGAACCCGGTGATTCCGGCGTCGACCAGCAGCGTCGATGTCCGCATCTCGAGATACTCTTCAAACGCCGTGTCAAAGCTCCCCACCACCACCGCAGAGACCTCGAGGACTCCGTTCGAGACCCGTGCAAAGAGGTCCGCAAACCGCACAAGTGTCATCGACCGCTCCGACCCTGGGTCATCACAGAGGACAAGGAACGCCGGCCGGTACGTCTTGACATGCTCCCGCGTCACCTCCAGTCGCGCAGTCTGCTTCAGCGCGTCGAGGTAGATCTTGGCCTGCCGCGCAGAGCCCCAGTTGACGTCGTTCTCCTGCCAGTCCACGTACTTGTACAGCAGCATCGCAGCCGTGAGCGTCGCCAGCGAAAAAATGTAGTTGATGACAAACATGAGCACAATGCACATAAACGTGCCCGCGAGCGCCACCCACCGGTTAAAGTACGTAAACGACGGCCGCCACCCGGGCACCTTGGCCGTCGCTGTCGCAAAGCACGCGTAGTTGATAAACGCGTACGAGATCATGAAAAAGTTGGTGATCAGCGGCGCAATCGCGTTGAGGTCGCCGATGCACATCACCGCTCCGGCAATGAGGAACGTGAGCACGTACGCCCGGACTGGCTCGTTGTTGGCACCGCGGCCCTTGGCAAACGCCACAAGCGCCGGGAACAGCCCGTCCTCGCACACAGCCTGGAACACCCGCGGCGCACCCACAAGCGCCGCAAGCGCAGACGAGAGCCCCGCCGCAAAAATGCCCGCAATGATGAGCGGGCCGAAAAACGCAGACTGGATCATAATCTCATTGTTGTGCAGGAGCCCGCCGGGTGTCGTCCCGGGCACCTCCTTCACAAGCGTCGCCCCGAGCATCCAGATGAGCACAAGGTACACCACACCCGACACAGCCACAGCCGCAATCGTTCCGCGCGGAATAGACAGCTGCGCGTCCTTCAGATCACCCGAAATGTTGGCTCCGGCCATGATGCCCGTCGACGCCGGGAAAAGACCGAGAAGAGCGTAAAGAACGACTCGTTTCGCCACTCGGTAGACATGTTCTCAGACAGCGTCGCTGACGAGTACGACGTAAAGCCGAGGTTCGCATCGCTCTTGCCAAACGTGCCCACCACGTACGAGAGAATCGAAAAGACAAGCAGCACAAGGAGCGTGAGCTGGAACTTGACCACCCATGCCACTCCGATCATCGCAATGATGATGAGAAAGACGAGTGCAATGAGCGCCACAAGCGTCTGGTCCCAGCTCCCGCCCTTGCTCCAATTGTAGTTGTCCGGAAACACAGACTCGACCACTGTCTCGGCAAAGCCCACAAGATGGAGCGAGACCGCTCCGGCGTTAGCAATCGAGAACAGGATCCCAATCGCGCCGCCAAACTCGGGCCCGAGCGACCGCGAAATCATAAAGTACGCTCCACCCGAGAGCACCTCGCCATTGGTGCAGATCGCACTGAGCGATAGCGTCGTGATCGACGTCACAATCATGCACGCCACAACAATGAGCGACGCGTACCACACCCCGCCGTGGCCCACCATCCACCCCAGCCGCAGAAACATGAGCACTCCCCAAATGTTGAGCAGGCACCGTGCAAACACTCCTTCAAACGTCCCAAACTTGGTCTTGTTGCCGCCACCGGCTCCGGCCTCGCCGTCGCCGCCGTCACCGCCGTCGCCGTCGCCGTCGGCCACGGCACCAGCTCCCGTCAGCGCCTCTCGGATCGACGGCCGCTTGGTTCCCGACCGTCGAAAGTAGATTGTGTCCGGATGCGCGTCGATGAGCGTTTCATACCGCGACTGGACCTCCTCGGGCAAGTCGTCCACCCGCGGCGTCGCCTGCATCCCGCTCCCACCCGAGCTCAGTCCCGGCGCCAGCGCAGTGACCTTGACCGCAGACAGCGGGACAGAGAGCGGGAGATGGGTCGATGAGCCCGAGGTGCCCAGCGGGAGATGCCCTCCGCTCGTTGCCTCCTTTTTCTCTCCGATGCTCTTTCGCCCGCTCCTCTGCCCAGCAGCTGGAGTGCGGGCACCACGAGAGCCGCGGCCGTTGCCACCACTCCCACTCCCATGGCCACTCCCATGGCCACCGCCATGGCCACCACGAGAGGAACCGTTGTTCGCTACACCGCTTCCTTGGCCACCACTCTTCCTTCTCCTCCCACTCCCACTCCCACCACCACCGCCTTCGCCTCGGCTGGACTGGCTCGCTGTCGCACCCTCTCCGACTCGGACACTCTCGCTCGTACTCGCCTTGCCCCAGGGACAACCTCCTCCACCTCGTCGTACGAGTAGGTGTATGAGTAGCCCGAGTACATGTCGGACGTCCACCCGGACATGCTGTATCAAAGACCTCGCCCGTCCTTCTTTGCGGGTGAGGTGAGCCCCCTGTCGCCTGTCCCCCTCCCGCCTCCGCACTCGTCCCTCCCGCCGTCTTTGCCAATGTTACCGGGTGGCGGTAAAACGGACGGTTTTCCTTGGACTCGGCTTGGAAAATTGATGGCAAAAAAGAAACCCCCTCAGAGACTCACTCTCAACCTAGCTCGCAGGGGAACAGCCATTTTTATTGGCGGGGAGCAAAGCCAAAGGCGGCGAGCAGCTTGCCGAGCGTGTCCTTGTCCTTGAAGATGATGAGTGAGCACATGACAATGAGGCCGCCGACAAGGCCGACAGCGCCGACGCCGACAGCGACGCCGAGCGGGAATGACTCGGCGTCGCCCTGCTCTTCAAAGTTGTCCACAAACTCGTACGTGCATCCCGTCTTGGAGACCGAGCCAAAGGCGCCGGTGATGACGAGGGCGTAGTTCTGCGGGCCCGACGGGACATTCCAGCCCTTGACCTGAACCTTGTACGTGGTGCCCGAGATAATCGACGACGGTGCCAGCACGGCTTGCTCCACTGTGTTGCGGGTGTCGCGCTTGGTCACCCAATTTCCGGTCTGCGTCTTCTCGTCGGTGCCCATGTAGAGGTTGAGGTCGTTGACGAGCGCGATCGACGACGACGGCGAGCCCGGCACGTCCGACCACACCAGCGTTGCCTTGAGCGACTGCGCGTTTGTCACGCCCGAGATGCAGTAGTTGACAGTGGCGTCGGTTGAGACTTGCATCGAGTCGTCGACGTACAGCGCGTGGCTCGACGACGCAAACTTGAGCGCATTGTCGAGCTGGACCCGGCCAAAGCCCTGGAAAATGGACGGAATCGACGTGAGCCGGACGTACGTCCCGTTGTTGCCAACGTCGATCTCGCCGGTGAGCGGCACAGCAGAGTTGATAAGCGTGGCCTTGACTAGCGCCGCCGATGGCATGAGTTGGGCGCTGGCGCTAGCGCTGCCGGACGGGTAGTAGCCGCTGAGGTAGTACTGGCGGACGAGCGCGGCGAGGCCGGCCATGGTCGGGCATGCCATCGACGTGCCGGCCATCGACAACAGCGCCGCCTGGTTGGCGCCCGACGGCGAGCCGGTGGCGCAGTGCTCGGCCGAGTTTCCGCCGCCGTCAGAGTGCGCCGACACAATGTCCTGCCCGGGCGCCATGAGGTCTGGCTTGAGCCGGCCGTCGGTCGTTGGCCCGCGCGACGAGAACGGCGCCACGTTGACCTTGTCCCACCGTGAAGGCGAGTTGCGGATCGACGACTCAATTTTTGACCGGCAGCAGTACTCCTGCGCAGCCTTGTTGGCCGTGCAGCAGTCTGAGATGCCGGCATCGCGCGCCACAGCATCGCGCTCGTCCCAGTCGTAGTAGTTGAGCGCGTCCACAAAGCCATCGTTTGACGTCTGCGACGCGCCCACCGCAAGGCACGACTTGGACGTGGCCGGCGAGCCCACGTTCGACGTGATCGACTCGGGCGAGCCGCCATCGTTGCCACCCGCCACAAGAACGAGCATGTCCTGGTTGGTGTTCATGAACCGGTCAACCTCGGCCGCAGACGAGGTGTACGACGGCGACGACGAGCCCCACGAGTTGGAGTGAATCCGTGCTCCCGACGCGTATGGGTTGGGAAAGAGGCCCGTGTTGAGATCGCCCGGCACCGCCAGCCCGCCGCCGGTCTCGCCGATGTCCGTAAAGTAGACCTTGGCAGCTGGCGCCTGTCCGGCCCAATCGGCTACCGGCGACGACGAAGACGCCGTCGCCCCGGCCACAGACCCGACCACGTGCGTCCCGTGCCCGTTGACATCATCGGTCATGTCATTGCCCGGCGCAACCTCGTACGCAATGATCTTGCGGTGGCTCGGCCCGGGCTGCGACACGCTGCTGTCGTAGAACATGCAGTTGTCATAGTCAAGGCCTGAGTCCGCCACTCCCACAACCTCCCCGGCCCCGTCGAGCCCGGCTGCCGTGATTGGCGTCTGCCCGGCCGTCCCAGACTGGGTGATGCCGCGCGCAAACTTGTTCCGCAGCGCGAAAACAGGCGCAAACTCAATGTGTTGCACCGCCGCATCGCGCGCCAGCGCCTGCACAAGGCCCTGCTCCACAAACGACTGCAAAGTGACCACAAGCTTGGACGGCGACGCTGCAGCAACGTTCACCCCGCGGAAGCCAGCAGCCTCCAGCCGCGCCTCCACTGCCGCCGCATAGTCGCCCGCCGCCGTCGAGCTCGCAGCCTCGGGTGCGCCTTCGGCAAGTAGCACAAACAGCTTGCTCCCGTGCATGTGCTTCGAGTACCCGCCCCGCGGCATCTCCGCCGGCGCCTTGCTCGCCGACAGCGTCGTCTGAACATCGCCCGGCAGCGAGACAAAGGTCGCCACCTCGGCGTGGACCTTGTACTCGGGAAGAAACGGGCCAACCCACCGGACAACTGGCAGGCCCTGGATTTCCAGTGCTTCGCGGCCCGAGCAGAACACAAGGTACGAGTGATGCGGGAGGTACGACCCCAGGCTCACGCCTAGCGCCGCCATCTCGCCCACAAGCTTAGCCTTAGCATCGTCGTCCAGCCGCCCACTAACATGCACCACATGAAGCGACCGCTCCTGCGAGAGCCCAGCCTTGACCGACGGATCCACCCATGCACGGACCGATGCCGCCAGCTGGTGCCCGGCTCCATCGCTCCGCCGCACGCCAACCACGTCAGGCGTCGTCTCCAGATCCACCAAGTGCGAGTGCAGCGCAAGCGTGTGCGGATGTGCGTTACCGTCGGTATGTGCATACGCCTCCGACTCGATGAACCGCCGCGTCAGCTCCTCCTCTGTGTACGGCTGTGGAGCAAAGAAGGGAGGGGTAGGGGGGGGGGGGGGTGTCAGTAAAGGTCGTCAACTCGCGACCTCGTCCCCAACCTCTGCTTGCGGCTCTGCCGAACAACCAGCGGCCAACGTACTGAATACTCCCGGAAGGGAGCAGCGTGTGTGGGTGCAGTGAGGACCGCCACCAGGGCCAAGGCTGCAACCGCAGCGACTACCAAACGTGTCAAGGTGTCCGGCATGAGAGGTGTGACCACAAACCAGTGTTACGTGTGTGTGTTGGTGCGGTGCGGCTGCGGGGCTGCGGGCGCCACGCCGAGAGAAAAACCGGCTGGCGACCACCAACAAGGCTGTAACAAGCTGCGACTTGCTCGGGGGTACACTGCGGGATGGTTGGCTGCCTGATCGGCTACTGGGGTGTACCGCGGCTCTGAGCCGCCTCCATGGCGGCCTGGCGGGCGGAATCGACGCACTGCTTGTCCCACGAGCCTGCGGTGCGGACAAGGGCGTCTTCGGCCTGCTCCTCGTACGAGTAGAACGAGTACGATGACGAGGCGTCGATGGGAAAGTCGGCCGGCGGGTGGATCGGACCGGCATCAGGGCGCGGCCGCTGCTCTCGCTGCTGTCGCGGCGCTGCGCCGACGCTGGGAAGATCGAGTTCAGAGTCGGCGACGCCTGCGAGCGCGAGCTGCTTGGCGAGCCGGCGCTTGCCCTTGCGAGTGCGGACGTGCCGGACCGGAGCGTAGTACGAAGGCATTCGGACGGTGGTGTTGGCGTAGGTGACTGGTGTGTTGGCCGTGGGTGCAGAGGTAGCGCCTCCAGCCGCAGGCTTGTCCGACTCGGCGTCGACGGCGGCGGCGGCGGCGGCAGCGGCGGCAATGTCGGCGTCGAGCTGGGCGATGGCGGCAGCCTTGCGGTCGGGCGGCGTGACCTCAACCCGCGAGATCTTGCCGTCGCGCATCCAGATGACCCGGTCTGCAAAGGCCTTGAGGTTGACGTCGTGGGTAACCATGATGAGCGTGATGCCGTCGTCGATGTTGAGGTCGAGGAGGAGCCGGACGACGGCGTTCGAGTTGACAATGTCGAGATCGCCGGTCGGCTCGTCAAGCAGCAGCAGGTCCGGCTGGTTTCCAATGGCGCGCGCGATGGTCACTCGCTGCTGCTCGCCACCAGACAGCATCGACGGGTAGTGGTTGAGCCGGTGGCCCATGCCGACTTGCCGGAGCACAAGCTCGGCCCGCGCCTTGCGCTCTGACGGCGAGAGCACGCCCTTGAGAATCATTGGGAGCATGACGTTCGAGACTGCATCGAGCGAGCCAAGCAGGTTGAAGGTCTGAAAGCAAAAGCCAGCCGATTGAGCCGAATGTTGGCCAGCTCCTTGTCCGACGTCGAGTTGGTCACCCGCAAGCCGCCAATGACCACCTCGCCCTTGGTAGGGCGATCGATGGTGCCCACAATGTTGAGCAGAGACGTCTTTCCGCCGCCGGACGTTCCAAAGATGACCACAAACTCTCCTCTGCGAATCGACGCCGACACGCCCCTCAACGCCGGCACGCCTTCCACGCCCAGCAAGTACGTCTTGTGCACGTTCTTCAGCGACACGATGATGTCCTCGTCCACCTCGCCACCATGCCCGCTCTCCGATCCGTCATCATCCGACCATCCCAGTCCACACTCTGACTCGCTCTCAGACCCACTATCTCCCTCTGCTCTGCCGCGCTTCGGAGCGTATGCCTGTGTTGCACAAGGTGGTGGTGGTGGGAGGGGGAGGGGGTGGGAGGGGGGGGGGGTGAGAGTGGCGTCAGCCTGGGGAACATGCCAAGGAGAGGGAGGGAGAAGGGCGGGGGGGGGGGGGGGGGGGGAGGGCGAAGAGGAAGAGAGGCGTACATCCACTCCAACTGCTCCGTAAGGGTTGTCGTCGGCCATGGACAGCGATGAAGGGAGGGGAGAGAGAGAGGGAGAGAGAGAGGTCTACTTACTGATGGCGTATGTGGTCAGCGGTGTGTTCGTGACCAAACTGGGGGGGGGGGGGAGAGGGGGGTGTGAATCGTTGGTGAACCCCCCCCCCCGCTAA